TTATTTTCAATATTCAATTGATTTTTACTATATATAGTGTCACGCCATTTGATTAAAAAATAAGAATATTACCTATATGAATAGGTATAGCGGGAAACTAGACTGCAGCTGTAATTTAAGCTTTTGCGGATACGAAATTATCGACACAATGACATCGATAATAAAGATGATAATAATAAGACGGATGTACATCGCATTATGATATATCATTAAGAATTTTATATCAAATGACCCGAGTTGGTTGGCAATTTTCACCCTACGCCGCGTGCCCGATTTCTGCATAATAATATACACAGTCTGCTGGTACGTGCGCATATTATATAATATAATATACTATTATTCATGTAGCAGTAGTTGGCGTTCGCTTATTATCAAAAGACATATAAAACAAGCTCAGTTTTCCACTACATTAAACGCCGATGACGCGCGCCTCGCCCTTCGATCGCAACCCCACCCTCCCACCCGATACAACCCCCAGCGCGGTTTATACCACAGCATCATATCGCCGACCCCGGGGGAACGTTTTTCGTGCACAACGTTAGACGTACACTCTATATTACCGTCGTTATATTGTTATTACGAAGCGCGAATTATGTTCTAAGTTATTGTCGACAAGAATACATACATACAAATGTATATAATAATATACAACAAAGTGTCCCCTATATGTACCAATGCGCACATCAGTGTGATGTTTATAATGACATCAAGTAAAACGATAAAAACGGTTCGTCGTATGTGCAGTAGTGGCGGACGAACCGTTTCAGAGTTAAAAATGGCCGTTTAACGATGCAGTATTATGATATTATGTTATGTAGGGTACCTAGGTGTATAATAGTGGCGATTCGTCAAACCGTTTGCTGTACCCCGTTGTTAATTCTAAAAATAAGACGTTTATACCTACTATCAAATATTAACTATTGGAATAATATTTTTAATTAATTAAATCTATTTTATGTTTTATCGTACAACCGCAATAACTCTATTTATTTGAAACTCATAAATACTCGTGTTCATAATATAAATAACAAATAACATAATATTTGTACTTTGTAGTGTTAATTATTATCCTTGCTAAACCTACTATAGTTAGTATTGCAGAAAGTAGAATAACTCAGAAATTACTTGTTCGAATTTCGATTTCGATACAGACAAATCATCTGCTTAAATAACTTCAGGAAAAAGTTTTTAATCAACGCAGGTCACGCCTTGAATTAAAAATATATAGTCTAAGTATGCATAACAATTCCGTAAATAATAATTTGAATAAATAGTTATATATGAATCGACTTTTTAAATCGACTGGTGAAAAACCTACATTACTGGTTTGGTTTAATTATCGAAAAATTGTGACATATGATATATATTATTAGCTATTTACATAAATATAGGTTAGGTGTTGAAACTGGTCGGATGAGTGGGTGGTATGTGTAATTTTTACATATTGTATACCAATATCAGTACCTATCGATCTGTTTCCCATTAACAGCGTATAAAATACCAAAAAAGTAGAAAACCTTTGCTAGCGCATAACAATTTATAGCTATATGATATTATTTTAATATAACTACTAAACCGTTGGCGTGGCAGTGCAGATAAAATATATAAAACACATTTGAAAAAACCCACCAATTCGCATTGTCGATGTGCACGCGAGTCATAAATTCTATTCATATAAAATAATTATTATCACAGTATCATATTATTATACATTTACAACAGCACACGTACATTGCAATAATATGCGAGCATATATATGTACATAAATTATACGTTTAATGTATACACAGATATACGGACCAACAAAAATTAGTGCCAAAATAACGCACGTCGTGCCATCGCTGGTGGAGTATTCGATTCCGGTCGGGTTTTGTTAAACAATATTATATAATAGTAATAAAACATTATAATATATTATAATATGAGCGGGGGCTCTGTATCAGTACAGTGTGGCGATTGTTTTAAATATAACGGCCATTGTATGTGGATTAATATTGTGTTTCGTGTGTAAGTCGTACCTAAATATATACATAGTTAATAATATATAATATGTAAGTACAGTCTACACAATAATTATAAATTAATATTTGATTTGATTTTATCGTTTCTGTCTGCAGCTATATACCTAGCGTGTGCAGCGTCACCTAGATAAATCCTCGAGAAAAGCGTTTGGAATATATTATATTATTATACGCATCTCGTCATGCATTATTATATTTACCTATATAATATGTTTATAGAATGAGTATATATAAAAACATTACGTGTAAAACGCTACACAAATTGACACACAATAGTACAAATATATAATGACTACGGTCGTGGCCGTGCGTCCTCTGGGAGTGAGCGAGATAAATCGTTTCGCGTTAATAAAACGCCGTTTGGTGCTGTCGAGTGCGTAAAAAAAAAATTTAACGACGCCTCTTATTATTATAATTTGCCCTCGCTAGATGACTACCGTTTTGGGAGCATATATATCGTACGCGACTCCGTCATTGGTCGAAATGGTCCCAGAAGGGCACTCGAAATATATCCCCCTCGTTACGCACTCGTATATATATATATAAGCATAAGTAGGTACGCGTCCCCTCCGCGGGCCGAAAAGAATAACAACTAATTTACACGAGTGTTATTTTATACGCGATCGTTTGTGTATAACTGTGTATAAGACAATCCAATTGGATTACGCTCAAAAGGGGTGATGGTTATAGCCTTATGGGTTAGGGAGTTTGTACTTTTTTTTTTTGGTCAGGGTGAATTTTTTGTTTGTAATGGATGTGCGTACGGGGTGTTTACTATAATATAAATTTAAAAGATATAAAAATGTACATATAATATTATACAATAATACTAGGTACTATATACCTATACCCATAAATAATAACTAAACATATTGTTAAATATAGGTAATATTATAAAATATATAATATTGAGCGAGTTAATAGCCATTTATATTAAATACACCTATATCTACTATCGTGACAAAAAAACGTTGAATAAAAAATCGGTTTACGTATATATACTATATAATATTATTTCCTCTAAACGTCGTACATATGTATAATGTAATCATCATCAACGAGCTAAAGGTCTGACCTCAATTGCGGGTAATCAAATTTATAATTAATAATTTCGTCTGTTTCTTTTTTTTATTATTTTCAGAACGTATTCCTGGCATCCGATAATTACTGCGTTTTGTCAATAGCTATAGTCTATAATACGTCGACACTGTAATAAATATATATATATATAGGAAGACTATGCGATAAAACTCGAGATTAGTAATAGGTACTTTGAGCATGATTGTATTTATATATATATAATAAATATAAGCAAACATTTAATTAGGCAACATCCATTTTACATTTTATAGTCGACTTTTTTATGATGACATATTATATTAAAATGAAAAAATTCTCGAACATTTTGTAACCAATTAGTACAGTTGTATACAGAGATAAAAAAATCATATTATACGATTTAATTACAGATGATTGACCATAATAACGTGGTAATTATATATAATGTATATTTATTATTTTATTATTATTATACGTATTATGTGGGTCCGTGTTGTAGACGTAACAAGGTTTACTATATAGCCGGCAAAAATGATTAAAAACGCATTTTCGTTTCGAGAACAATTTTATCTAAACCGTTATTTAACAACGCTGTTTAACACCCTCTTGTCAAACAACAAGTGACGAGAGTGGAAGCGGCACGGCGGCCATTATGATTTCTTTTCATCCCTCTGCGCGATTAGCGAGTACCCGTTTAATCTGACTCCCATAATAATATATAATATCCGTCGCATATATTTATAATCCTTTCAAAAGGTTAACTGGAAAACGACGCTGCTGGTATAATGCTATTATATTATATTATAAATATAATAATATGTGTGCGTGCGATGTACGTACGCGAGTAGATGTTTTAATGCCTAAACTTCTAGATGATGTGTTTTTTTCAATGTGTAATTTTTTTTTTTTTTTACTATGCATTTTGCTTCATATGGAAAATATTATATTCGCATCGTTGCCGTGTTGACAACAGCGACAATGATCACCGACGTCAGAGTGGTATCAAAACATTATCTCCCATTGTACACGCTTAACGTCAAAAAATAATAATATAACGACCCATAAAGTAATTGCAGACGTACGCAATCCGATTAGACACTGCAGCAGTGGATACACAATACACATAATACTATATAGCATATAGATACACGAGGTGCGGGTGGATATGAGCCGTCATAATAATATAGTAGGTACCTATATATTATATTTATATTTAATTAATAATATAAAAAAAAAACAGTGTACCTATAGCTGGGATTATTGTATAGAAAATAATGTAAATATTATAATATTATATGGTAATTTATAATATATTATAATATGTAACCATATGAACTATATCCGTGCGTATTCTTACTATACAAAATATAAATGTTATAGATTAAAGATACCTATATACCTAAATTATATTTATTGGTTATTGTAAATTGAATTATATTATGAGATTGATGAAAAGGGTAAATTTTTAATATATAACGGCAAAACATGTTAATATTATGATGAAATTAACGTTTGTACCACATAATAACAAATTTATGATTATTAAATTGACGATGAGAAATCTAAGTAAATTATCTTTTCTGTAACTATATAACCCGTGCATTTAAATATAAACAAACAACGTCAAAAAACAACACGACGGCTCACAGAAAACAAAATTAAAACGTCTACGGTTGTCAGACGAATAATGTAATATAATTATAACAACGAATACCACAAATTATAATATCATACACAGCGCATCCGTAAATATAAGAGATGACTCGACCTCGACTTACGAAAAAAAATGTGTGGTATAAATATAGGTACCTATAGGCTATAATTATAATAGGTACCTATTAATTAGTAAAAATATGCATATATTATTGTATTGAATAGTTTAATATATTATATCTAAATATTATATATAATGACACTCACCTGTGTTTCGGTTAAACTCAGCGATTGGGCCAACTGTTTTCTTTCGGCGCCCACGACGTAATGGTTTTTCTCAAAAGCGTGTTCCAATTTAAGAAGTTGACTGGGACTGAAAGCGGTCCTTATTCTTTTGGGTTTTCTGAAGGGTTGTAATAAAAATCCTGGTATGTCTGGACCTGTTATAAGGAAATAAAAAAAAAAAACGGTTTAATTTAATATTCGTAGAAAGAATAAACGGGATCAGTTTGCTGGACGCGTTTATCATAATAATAATAATAATAATAATAATATAATATTATGTGGCAGTGTTGTTTGTTTGTAGGATATTACGCTTTGCTTTTGTAACACCATTTCCCGACAACCAACAGAACACAGTTGCATAAAATTGTTATTAATGGTTGTTAAGATAATCGGATGTCAGGAGAGTATAAGGATTGTGTCACGAAGACGACACGGCATGGGGTCTATACCGAAAATCCTTGCGCCTGATAACATTGTACCCACTCTAATTTGAAAGCCAACAGTGATAAAATATTCAACGGCGGTGTCAAATAAATTTATTTTCGAAACTCGTTTGGAATATATTATTATTATAACGAGACAGGGGCCTACGAGTCCAATATGATATCTCTCCCCCCCCACCCACATCACGCACATATATTATATATATGAACATTAATACGTATGTGTGCGCGCGCTTGTGTGCGTGTGTGTTAACAGCTTCATTAGAATATACAATTGGACAATACAGAGTTTGTTATATAAATTAAACATAATATATTAGTCGGTGTAGGCGAGACTTCAATAATATTGTCTCAATGTACACCAGCAGGCTATATATTACTATAGGTACTCTATTCCAACAGTCGCTCTGCCGTTTTTCTATTTAATTTTTTTTTCTTCCATCCTGCGCGCGGTGACTCCCAGGCAAAAATTAGGTAAGTACCTATACCTATCTTTAAACGTACTTAGTATATAATAAGTATTAAGGAGCTGGAACCTTGATGATTTTTACGGATCCGGTTCGTTTCCTAGAAAAAATAAATTTCTTTTCGGTTTTTATCAAAACAACCATTTAGGTTTCGGTTACTTTACGGTTTAAAAAAAATGAAAAATCGGGTTTTGTTTGGATTCATTAAAAATTATAATAAAATATTGGTATTGTCAATTTCTTGGCGTCAATTGTGGCGGGTCGTATCTTAACATTTGCTCAGAACTAAGAAAAGTACTAAATAAGTAAAAAATATACTCATCACTGTCACTTTATGTGCGATCCCGTTTAAAATAAGATACCAAAATAATCTTAAATTTTCTATAAAACCAGATAAAACTAAAATTATCAGTTCCAGTAAAGTTCCGGCTTTTAAATCAATTTAAATAATGATTTCGGCGAGGTTCCAGTTCCCAATATTCAAAGGGTTCTGGTTCCAAAACCGGTTGTTTTCGGTAAGATTCCAGCCCCTGTTTAGTATACAATACACATATAGGTAGGTACAGTATAGTGTGCAGCAGGCATAGTTGGAAGAAATTAAGAATTTAGAACGTAAGAATTTAAAATGCTGAGATGTGTGTCATTATTTGAGAAGAACAGTTAGATAATATTGCAATCACACAATTAATGAATAAATATTTCTCATCGATCGTCTACATAATATTATAATTTATACTAAATAATATTCATCATCATCATATAGATTGGTTAAACCAATAAAGATTATAATAAAATATGAGCCGACCGTAAATCGTAATAATACCTATCGAAATAATATACGATATTATCTTATGCGATTTACTCGTTGGTCACAACAATATTCTATTCTGTGGTTACAGTGTCACCATCGTTATTAACATTTTATTGCGTCGAGTTCGTCTGGTTTCCATAGGAATTATCGGGAAAACCGTGGGGGTTATCGAGCACAGATTGTATTCGTTGTATGCTTAATTACAACTCACAACACATCTCCCATAACACCATACCAATTCTTATACATAGTATAAAATCATATTCATGAACCCCAAACATATTAATAAATAATAGCAATTAAATATTATTGTTATACGAACATGGCAAAATTAAATTTCGAATACGTATAATGTTACAATAATAACTATATAATTAATAACTGTTTGATTACGCGTTTTGTGCGAGCTATTAACATAACATAATATTCTTTAACAGGACGCTACACAGTCATTTGTTGTCTACTTGTCTCACTCGTACTAGTGCGTAATATACCAAAATTACGTTCAGCAGATCACGTTTAGCTCTGTTAGTTTAAAAATCAGAGTGAATCTCATTATGGAAATTATGGTAAGAACTTTATCTGTGTTTGTGTGTGGGCTTTTTGCGATAGTTAAATTTTGATAGTTAAAGTCATGTGTATATTATAATATAGCGTAGATTAAAAATGCCCATAACTCACTTAAAAACTGAATTATTGTAAAAAACCCACATAAAACACAGATAATGTTCTTACCATCAAGTTTCATAATAGGTCGGTTTACTCTAATTTTTAAACTAACAGAGTTAAACGTGATCCGCAGAGTCTAAATTTGCTGTGTTACCCACATGAAAGACGGATGATATATTTAACGATATTAATATGAAAATTATTATGAACATTAATATTATTAGTGTCGTCAGATTAACGGCAATCGTCATTCGAAATAAAAAGGTCGCCTGTTGTTGTCTATACCTATTGCAAATGTTGTGCATATACATACACCATTATTTTATCGTTCACACAACTCGTCCACGGGCAGAGTAGGTAGGTACCTACCACGCTGTGTGCACAACAATAAAAATAAAGCAAAATCATAGTAATAATAGTATAATACTTATTATACTTAGCTATATAGTACCGTATATACCATGCGTACCTATATACTTAAAGGCAACAGTTGGTAATCCAAACATAATATGTAGCCATAGGCTATAGGTAATATGGATTGACCGTTTAGCTCGTATTATAATTTAAATTGTGCATGCAGTGTAGATAATAACTATATAATATATAATATTATAATACTGTATGTTTAGAATATTATGACACACACGCATATTATATATAATAATGCAAGGTATGTTGTTATTTAATGTGCGTGCGATATACAGAAAATAATTTAAATATATTACAATGTTTCGATGTTGAATATAATATATAGTATAGGCGGTGGTAATTTTTCAACGCTGTTGATTTTGAATTTTTATTTTACAACGATTTTCACACATGATTTTATCGTCGGTGTGTAAGTCGCACGCAATAAATATTATAATTACAGGAAACAATTTGTTTTTAACCGAAAAATTACACGACGTTTTACAAACCATGCGCATGCCGCCTCCACCCCATCCCGCCACAATCGCTAAATCCCGTATTCAAAACTATTATAATATTATACTCCACCTCGGAAAATTATACGACCGAAACATATTATACCAACACACACGCGTGCGCGCGACTGGTCTGGTCCGGACGATTATTACCATAATTATTATATTATTCTCATTTTAGACAAACGCGTCCGGTAATTTAAACGTTAATTGCCGGTTTTTACTGTATTGTAACGAGAAACATATTATATATATATCGAGTATTGTTATATATAAGTGCAGTGCAGTATAATATGTATAAAAATGATTGTTATTATTTTTTTTTGTAATGTAATCTGGCTTGGGACTAATAAGAAGCTGTCCGTATATGTGAAATGGATAAAAAAAAAACGCTTTTGGGAAGTTTATCATTATTATTATTTTTTTGTATCCACCTCTATTGTTCGAAATTAATTGGCACCGCCTCTCCGGACGACGGCGGGCCACCTATCTTCCTACGCGAACGCGCGCGCGCAATGCACAAACACAACACTATGTATAATAAACCTAATGATACATAAACGATATAGATTTATACAGGTGGGTTATCGTGTTATCTCGTAATGTTTATACAATATTGAGAAACGGGGCAAAAACGACGGCCCAATAGACGAATGTACGTATTATCGTGGCAATCGTAAGTCGATCGCGTCCAATGTCTATTCTGTAGTAATCGAATAAAAAACTTGAATTAAAAAATGTATGACGAGTACATTTTATGACGAATAATATGCATAATAATATTATAATAATATAATAATATTATGTACAATAATATGTTTTCAGAAGTTTTATTCAAATACTATCATACAATAGGATAGTCGGTATACGATTGGAGCATGCGATAGGTCTATTTTGGTTACCCTTAAGTGGTTAGTATTATACTATTATATACCCTCATCACAGTCATTGTAATAAATTATAAAACAATAAAGTATAATGACACGCGCATTTGGATTTCGGACGCGGTCGGCCATGGTGCAGTGAGTATATATAGGCATATACATAAATAATATCTACATCAACGCATGATATAATATAAATAATGTATAGATATAGGTGCAACGTCTGCTCGGTAATTAATAATTAGAGGCGCTTGATAACGATATTTCGTCGGGTTGATAAGACAGCTGGACATGTCATCGCGTGTGTAAGGCGAGCGGATAAGATCGCTGAGATAATTATACGGTTACACATACATAGTATAATGATATAGGCAGCAATTTTACATATCTACCTATATATTATATCGACGACGAACGCCATCTGTTGGCCGATGAATGCGTAAACCTACCTCCTTAGGCCTCGGGTATAGTTTACCTGTACATAATATAGTACTCGCTTATACATATATTACTATATACATAATATATCGTATATGCATTATACATATATAATATATATAGGTATATAATATATATACTATCGTGGACTTAATACGTATTTACGTTTTATTATATTGTTTTGACAATGGCAATTTACATTTTATTTTTCACTTTTGTTCCACTACTAATTTATCGCTGTTAATTAACCGTCACGCCCGCACGGCCGACCCGAAACAACCACGAGACGGCGCAATTAATAACCGCGGGCGGCGCGACGTTAATTTTTTATTTATTCTTTTTTTTTTCTTCTCCTCTCCGATAATATATACACTCCACCTCCGCCACCCCGAACACTGTCCCCCCGGGCCCGATAACGTGTACACATCAGGTATATAGGTATTAAACATAATAATGGGTATATATACCTACATAGTATTGTATAGCTATATTCAATATTATTATATAAAAGCGGTGCTGC